AAGGGGAAGAACCCTTGTCTTTTCAGTGACAGATTAGCGGAGACACAACAAAGCCAAGGTGTTTGGTCAATGAAATCAGTGCTTTTGGACTCTCAGGGGACGCGTCACGTCCTCATGTTAAAAAAACCCAGAAAGCCACCCTCTCTTGCATCACCGATGGGGTCAATGAGAGCTACCCACTGTGATCTCAGCTGCAAGGAATTTACTGATAGCGCGGCAAATTTCTACGCACCCCCCACCCCGGTGCTTGAGAACCTCAACAGGCACCTCGCCCTTGTGTAGGTGCTGTGAACTGAGCTTTCAGAAGTCCTGTACGTGCGGGGAAAAAAACCCATGAGATGTCTTTTTATTGTGAGTCATTTTGAGCACAAAATAAAAACAAATACAGAGAGAAGAGAGTGTGTGGTTTGAAGAGTCCATCATGAGCGGCGAGGCAGCTGGTAGAAAATGAAGGAAAGTAGCTGTCACCCCATCGGCAGAACAGCTGGCGTTCACACAGCCAGTGGGAACCGGGCGCCCACTGCGGCTGTCCCACACGGCCGCGCCCAGCGAGGTGCCCCTCCCTCACACAGTTCGCCCGGAGGCCTAAATGAGCAGCGAAGGGGTGGGCTTCTTGCCAGGCCAGGCCTCCTTGGCATACTTCTTCTTGCGGGGCTCGTTGTGGGCCTCGGAGGGGAAAGGGCCCGGGGCCGGGGCGGGGTTCAGGGAGATGGGGGGCTGGGTGGCCGTGGGGGTCAGGTCCACGTCGGGGGCCGGGTTAGGGAAGGGCAAGGGCAGCCCACCCAGGATGGTGCTCCCCCCGTGGGACCCAGGAGTGTGGGCGCCCAAGTCGTTGCTGGTCGGGGGAAGGTCTCCGTACAACCCGCCGCTGTAGGAAAAGTTCAGCATTGGCCGGGCTGTCGTGTTCTCCAGGCTCAACGTGCCGTGGCCCTCCATTTTCTTCTTCTGCAAGAGCGACGGAGACAGAGGTCAACGCCGTGCCAGAACCCACTGTGTTAACGCCAGTCTCCCCAATGCACTGGAATAAGTCACTCTCCACTTTATAG